GACCACCCAGGGATCCAGCCAGACGACGAGACGAACGGGAGCGCACTCAGACGATCCCCCTTAAGAAATGCAAGAAAGACTGCCCCTGGTGCGGATACTCTGGAGAGGATGTAGTGTACGAGCATGAGCCAACAACGGCGTTCCAAAAGTGGTGTCGTGAAGAACCTTCAAAAGATCTGCAACAATATACACGGACCTACGAGGCCATCAAAGTCGAGAGGTAAGTGACGTCCTCGCATAGATGTTTTTAACCTGCGTAGAGTTGTAAATATCCTGATGAGGGCGGGTGCAGACTATAGGGGTATGTGTCTTTTTTGCAGGACTTTACAGCGTTGACGATAATGTCAGAACTTGGGCCCCATCTCTGGGAGTGGCACTTCGCAAATCCATCCTCAGCCACTGCACACGGCGGTTTCAAAGCAGGTACTCTACTCTTGATAAAGAGTAATGCGCAACGTTTAACTTATGGTGTATAGGTCTTTATGGACGAGTTAACAAGAACGGTTATTTTCAAGCTACTGACACTAACGTTGACCCAAGTGCAAAGCAATCCCGTGTGCTCAACCCTTATGTGCGTCATTGCTTCCACTACAGTGCACTTAACCAAATGAATACGAATCATGCAGTGCAAACGCATTGTCACGGTGCGCGAACTCGCTCGGTCACAAGGCTTTCCCGACAAGTTTGTGTTCCAAGCGGAAAATGATCGTGTCATGACGGTGTGTGCTAAAATAACCTTCCCTCCCGCTGCACACTGATCAAATAACATAGATGCACAGGCAGATTGGTAATGCCGTGCCATGGCCGGTTGCAATGGCAATCGGCCGCGAGTTAAGGAAAGTGCTGGTGAAGAAGTGGTCGAAAGAGCGTGAGGACGTCATGGTGGTCGATTGAGCTCGTGTAACACTGGAAACACAACAAAGTATTATTAGCGAGTAGATGTAAGATGTCCAGACTCCATACCGCAGAATCCCAACTGTATAGCATTTGTCTTGGTGATTTAATTAGCCGTTGGTAGCACGATGTTCGTCCTAGTGACGAGCTCATATCCTACCCACACAACTTCGGAACAACTCTCACAACCGACAAGGTGTCTTCCCGCATCCATATCTTCTTCAATGATCCTGTATGTCCCACCACATCTACAAGCATGTGTCCATACACCCTCTTCTGCCTCCTCAAAATCCTCTAGTGAGATGACCTGCGCAGGACGCGGTCCAGTGGAGGTCTTTACTCGAGCACTTCGAAGAATATTATCGTAGGCTACGCGGGAGGACACGTTTGACAAGGTGGTATACTAGTATGCTTCTTTGAGGAGTGCGATGTCGACATCTACGGGTGGTATAGCGGATGAGAACGATCGTTTGTCTGGATGGGAAGCAAGAAGGGCCATATGGTACGCTGATTTTATTGTGCTCGGTGGGACATCGTACGTTATGCCGAGGAGCTGGTAGAAGTCGCCGTTGGGAGGGGTATCCAGCTTGCTTGAAGGTGATGGTCAAGTTGCTGTATTTATGGGGTCAGTGTTAAATATATCGAAGCACAGATCTTAGACTCACCTGGTGAACCTTTGCTGCTGCCCTATAGCTCTTGTACACTCCTCCTTAAACTCCAGCGAGAGCTTCTTGAATCCGCGACTCGCGCTGGATCATTTTGCTCGGAGTTTGGGTACGGGCACCCTTGCCCCGAGCACGCCCCATGCACTGTCCAAGACCCTATGAGCAGTGAGCGCAGGTTCGGCAGATCTCAAACTCCGCTACGACAGATTCGGCTTGGTGACAGGCAGACGTGATAGTTGGCTCTGTCACACCTGAACAAGTATCTCAATCATTTCTCCACCAATTTCAGTTATTCAACTTCGCAGTAGTGTATTATAAGTGTACAATGATATGTGGAGATTATCGCGATTTTGGATGTGTTCACTGTTGACGCTGTTGTTGACTTCTGGGGTCATTGGCCGATCGTCGCTCATCCTGAGTTGAAAGCTGCGTTTGAACGGCTGTACACTCTTGCCAACAAGGACAGTCTGTCCTGCGCTATCTTGACTCTGTACGAATGAAAGTAGTGGTTGACAGTTAAGGTGAGGTCGCATCTGAAATATGTCAGGAGGTAACTCTTCGACAGATCCAGCAAACGAACCATCTTTGCCAGTGGTGATAAATGGTCGGCGAAATGAGTACATATAGCACATTTGAAAGTAGACCATCCACCGGTCAAATATCAAATTCATCAAATGTCAGAACGAGCATCGGGCTCAGCAGACCCCTATCCATGACCAATTTCCACATCTCTCGCTTCCTATAGCGCTGGCCTAGGCCTAGATCGTGAAATCATGTACTTGATAAAAGGATCCCTCTGGAAATGTCACATCAGCTAAATTTTAGTTGTGGGCAGCCAGATATGGTGGTTCAGATTATTATATATATAACCAGCCCATATTTAACTTGGGCAACACCAAACCTTCATGCGCGAGAGCACAGGTAATATGGGCAGTTATAAACTTATGGAGTGCTGCTCAATGATATGCGATAGAAACGACAAACACCTTTGGCGTACGCTATTCCCAGTCGGGAGTACTAGCCGCATCCCACGCTCGTGACAGCAATGTGGTTACAGGGCGGCCCATCTCATGTTTTGACTCACAGCAGCCCGAGCAATCCATGGCGGCATCCAACATTCATACCAATGTGTTCCACCCACCGTCAATCATCACATATGAGGAAGCTCCTGTTATTGATCGCCCATCGCAGTCTATGGAGGCATCCGCCAGCGAGGCCCACAACCCACCACAACCCACCGAACCGTCACCAGCTGCAGGTGTGTCCTGCTTTAATTTACCACTTCGACACCCACGTTTTCTGACTGTCGATAATAAGGGGAGACTGTGGCGCAAAGCCTAAAGAGGCTGGAGTGTTTAATTGAGGCAAACACTGAAAGGCAGAAAGACCAGTTTATCGAACTCCAACGTACTTTATCGGCAAATGGCAAACTCGCACAGCAGAGCATTCTTCTCGCACATCAGAGTATAAAGAAGGCCGAGGATGCAATTACTTTAGCGAAGGATATCAAGAACGATACAAGGGGTCTGGGTGAGATAGATGCATCTAACAAAACATTGTTAGCAAGGCTAAAGGATTTACTTTTGGGTGTTCGTTTGCCGACGCTTACGGCGACAGAGCCATAACGATGTATCTTGTATCAATATTAATGTTGTTGCTATATTGTTGCTGGTGCCAGTTCACTATGTCTAGTGCCAGCATGTACACGCAGGGGTGCAATACCTTCAGATGCCAAACCTGTGCGCATACCGAAGCTACGCTTATCAGTGCACACCATCAACACGGAGAAACCCCCCTTTGGATCCAGCCTGAGGTAACCATGAGAAACATCAACACAGAAAATACCTGATCTGAGTATAGATTTCTATCTATATGCTTTGCCATAAGAGCCCTGAAGAGCCCTTTTTCAGTCGTCACCGTCTCCCCTCTTGCCTTTTATGGAAACCGTCCCCGCTTCTTTTCTTTCCCATCCCTCGGGGTGCAGCTCCGAGATTAAATTCCATGACAGCACGTCCCCCCGTCCCCGCTTCTTTTCATTCCCACAGCCCCCAATCGTTACCATGTCCCCGCTTCTTTTCGTTCCCACAGCCCTCAATCGTCCCCGTTCTCATCTGCTCTCGCAAGATAGTTGATTCCACCCTAGTGGCCGGAAACCTTGGAGCCCGCCTGCAACGTGCTCGCTCAACACAGCAACGCTGATACAACCAAGCAGGTGAGAATCATGTCAAGGTACTACACTTACTTTCCCATGCGCAACAATACTTACAGTTTTTGATTCAGCAGCCAACGAGACTCCGCCGTTTGCATGACTCGTATGGGAATGATTACTTGCCATCTCAGATCGACCTTATCGCTCACAAACTCGTTTTTTAGTGATCGGCTTACAAAATCATGATGGAATATCTCACCAAAGGATATGCCTAGATCGCCAGCAGGTTGTTACGGCAAGTGATCATACCGCGCTTGTTACTCGTGTATTTTGGAGGTGCATTCTCAAGCCAATTGTTTTGTTCATAAATCATCCCATGCGTGTACTCCAGTCGACGCATTAGCCAGAACCCGCTGGATCTCATGGCGTCTGGGGTCTCGACGATTATCATTTTCTACCTTTCCTCAGCCTCTTTCATTCTGCTCAGCTACAAGGCACGTTGCAATTAGTTATAGAGTACAGTGACTCCTAACATCTTCTACTGCAGGACACAAGTTTGTAAGACAGAAGGCAATACATGATCCAGATATCGTAGATGAACTGTCGAAGGATTATATGTACTTCTCTTGCATAGGGTTCATCGACTCCGTTCGTATCTTTCATATCTCATACCTAGTTTCCGTCTCAAGATTTGGACATAGATCAAGACAGCTTCGCTTAGATGGCACTCACCAATGCTGGATGACATATCGGCAGTGCGTATTGTAGCCCTCGACAGATCGACCCACCTGACCTCTTGTGTAGGTGAAAACTTTCCCTGACATGTGCTGCCTTAACACGCGTCATAAATGCGCAGCGCGTTTTCGCCCATCTCATGGCTAGTCTTTTGGACTCTCCAACTGTATGTTCTGTTGACAACATCTTTGCATAGGCACAAAACTCGTATTCATATACCAAAAGTGATTGGACGAATGATATGACAACTGCTCATAGCTCAATATTAGGTGCAGGCAGGGGTGAAGTCGTAAATCATTGGTAAGGTAAGTCTGGTTCCATTTTGATCGAGAGGGCTTTCTACTTGAACATATATCAACTCTGTCTACAGGCAGCACGCAGTGCTATAACTACCGCATGACTGCAACCCCTTTGTGGAGGAAGGACGATGAGGGCAAGACCATTTGCAACACGTAAGTCCTCGTTTGCCGTTCCAAACCATATCTACTGATATCTTACTATACATACAGATGTGACCTCTACTATAAGCTCCACGGCTCAGCTCGTCTCATCAGTATGAAATCCGATATCATTCGCAAGCGCTCTAGACACGACGCTCGTGTGTAGCGCTCCTCCCTCACCGACACCCTACTTATGTGACAGGAAACACCTTTGGGTCGTCATGAAGCTCACCGTGGAGGAGATCAAGCAAACGATCCAGTTTGCCACATCTGCAGGCTTCTCCGCTCCCGTCTTCTTCCATCCCTTAATGTGGGGCGCTCATCACATGCACTTCAAGGAAGGAGTGCGTATCGAAGTAGTCAGACGAACTAGGCGGTTGGACGTTCTCGCTGCAGCTGGACGGTATGAAATCCAAGGTTGAATTCGATGTCGCCTGACATCTATAATAGATACGACAATCTCATCACCCAGTATTCCAATCCAAAACCTGGGTTGGATCCTATTTGTGCATTCGCCATACAAATCGCTCTTGAGAAGATCCCAATGGTCTTAGTCAAGTCTTAGCGGCTTTCCAGAGCACCTCCATCGAAGCACTCGTGAAGGAACGGCGGTCATTTGGTTTCTGGAGTCCTTGGAGGTGTGACGTTTACACCCTTTCATACCAAGCAGGCTACCTGCAAGACCGTTTGGAAGTTGCTTCTTTACTGTGGCCAAACAACAAGTGCTGATATCGTGTATGATGTTCACATGAGAGTCACGTCGACCTATGCACACGTGAAGGAATACTGTAGGTTGAAAACTAGAATTACCTAAATCATCCGCGCTGACGTCTGACATCAGATTTGCCATTTATCCTCGATCCCGCACCGTGCGCGGTTTGTCCCTCCCTTCCCTTCCCACACCTCTTACTCACCGGGTTTCAAAGTTCACTGGATTGTATAGTTATTGTGGATTCAGGTCCTGTATTACTGTGAACCCGTGTGATACGCATGGAACTGCCAAGGCTATTCGTCGGGTGCGTTTTTGTGTTTATTGGTAGGGGATTGGAAGTGGTGACTGGGGTGTTTTGGTAGGCTTTGACTATGAGTGACGAGGAGGCATTGTCGAGGTGGGAGGTGAGAGTGTTGCTTGCTCGATCGACGGATGTGCGCTGACCTGCTTTTGAAACGCTCGCTGATCATTAAACACGCGCTCATATCCTGTTACACGCGCCCATTTCTCTGTATTCTCACTCCATTATCCCTTACACGCGCCGATCATTAAATACGCGCCCATCCTATTCAAAACAGGACCTCCATAACCACGTGGTAACACAAACAGCCCAAACCTTCCTCGCGCGCTGCCTTCACGCCAACACCGAACACACCACCCAAACAGACCACCACTCTGTCCCTGCCCTCAACACCACGCTCCTCCTCCCAAGCTACAAACACTCCCCTCGCCGTATCCTCCTGCTCGATTTCGAAGGCACGCTCTGGCGCCCCGACATGTCTCGCGCAGGACTCCTCGCGCCGTTCGTGCCCACCGAAGGCGCAGTAGAACTCCTGAACAAGTTCTCTGCAAATAAGCGCAACGATGTGTGGTTGCTCAGCGGGTTACCTGTCAAGAGCCTCGAGCGGGTCGCTGAACAAGCGCCTGATGTGGGTATAGTTGCGGAGAACGGGTGTTTTGCCAAGATCCCGGCGCAGAATGGGAAAGGAGGGGTGTGTATAAGTATGGCTGCGAATTTGAATTTGACGTGGAAGGGTCTTTGTGTAGAGATTTTGAATTACGTGCGTGTATTTTTTTGGGCGTTTTGGGTGGTGCTGATGATACTTTTGTTGGGCGTAATTCACGGAGCAGATGCCTGGTTCGTTTGTAGAAGAGCGCGCGGTGTCTGTTGTGCGGAGGTTCTGGACTGGTCCGACGGATGATTGTTCGGATCGTCAGTGGGCGAGGTGTCAGGCTGCCGAAGCGCAGAATCATATATTTGAAAGGTGCGTTTCCCAATCCCCACATCATCCTCATCCTTGTATTCACTGATGTACTCCTACTCCAGCCTCGGCGAACGTTACAGCCTCTGCATAATCCCAGGTTCAAATTCCTTCCTAGTCCTCCCAAACATCTCCCGCTACACAGCAGTAGGCGTAATCTTACACCCAGGCGGACCTGCACACTCCCCGCGTTCCTCCTCAGTGCCTGATCTAGACGTACCCGTGAACGGAGGAGCAGATGCAGGGTTCGTGTTCGCTGTAGGCGGTGACGAGAAGCTATTGAGGAGGTTGAATGAGCTGGATAACGCTGAGACGGTGTCGACGAGTGGGAAGGGGACGGATGCGAAGTGGAAACTGGATGCTGGGGATGTGGGGGATGGGATTCGAAGGATCTCCAGCCTTCTGGTCTGAACTCGACCATTTTTCGCTGGTAAAGACTGATACCAAAATATTGACGGCGAGATATTTTTGGGTCCACCATAGTTAATTGAGACAAACTGATGCGAGAGTATATTGCTGTGATGAGACAAATAGTGATAACATAGTAATCCACTACCCCACCACCGTGACAAAGGCAGGATCTGAGTGTAATACAGTGAGCCTGTCAGTAAAACAAGTGAAAACAATTCTACGACCATTGGTTACAGGAGCGCTAAAATGAGCCACTACCCGGGCGAGAACGGCAAAAACTTGACCTGGTCGAATAGGAATTTTAATCCCTAATTCAGGAGCGCAAAACTCTCCACCCTCCCAATCACCTACGGCAAACACAAATGCCCAAATTGCATGGTTGTCATGCCAGTCGATATGAACCAGCCCAGATCCCCCTTCTTTGACAGCCACCGCAAAAAATGCCCCCCCAAAGTCCAAACTGGGGCGGGCCAGTAATTCAGCGGCGAGGACCCTTTGAACCCGCTCGTATGCCCTACCAGACCAGTCAGCAGACTATTACATTGAGACCCAGCAGGTGATACACTTACCGTTGCATAATATCCCATTGTTCTGGTGCGTGGGTCTCAAAAACACTGCAAATCTTTCCAGCTATGAAGTCGCCTATGAACCTCAGTAAGGCGTCGATAGCAGTGATAGCTTGTGGGGTCTGGTTTGTTGTTTCAGCAGTCAAATGTGGCGTAGAGCTAGTAATCTCCCAGATGCCGAAGTGGAAGGCATTATTGTTGTCGGAACGGTTCGCATCACATTTGCGGGGTTGGTGCTTTGCACCACTGGCCAGAACATCGTCCCAGCGCTTTCGGAGGCGCTTTTGATTCACCTGAGTTATGAATCGATCGAATCGAATAATTAAGTAGGGTGGAAGGCCCCCGGGGACTTCGACGCTGGCAGGGAGGTCTCGGAGAGGCACCTGCACCTTGCCTGTGGCCGGAATATTTGCTAGTTGCTCGTGATCAACGGACATGGCCGTTCGAACGGCAGCGCCATTAGGTTGTGCCCGAAAGAAAGTTGCAGGGAATTTATCGATGTGGTGCGTGTCTTGGTTGAAGTTCAGCAAGACACGAGCATCAGCAGTGACTCAAAATCAATACGCACGCATGCCACGCTCTACAGCAGCCTTGACCTTTTGCACATTTTGCCTAGCCACACAAGTTACCTGCCGAACAGCTCGAGATGCTGGACTACGCATGCCTCTGGGAGTCTTCTTCGTCTTCGCCATAATCAAATGGGTTGAATATGATTTGAAAATATTAACCATGAATAATGTTGATGTAATCATTTAAGAACCTTCTCCGCGGCTTGCCCCAGGCCCCACACGTGCAACTTCACGTGTTAGCCTCATGTCACTACTAGTCAAGCCCAAGCGATTTTACACAACGAAAATCCTCATATAAGCATGAGCTCAATGCATGTTTTTGTGGGTTATCTCACCCTGACTTACGACTGTAGTGCGCTGAATGTCTGAGCGACGAGCACCTTGGGGTATGCCGCTTTTGTGTCCTTCAAGAAGATATCGTGAACAATGAACTTTTCCTGGAGCTCGCTTAGGGTTTGTATGCAATTAAGAATACGCTCGTTGAAATCCTCGTCGATCGGTACCGCGACAAACTTTGACTGGCCGACGCGGATAGTAGACGTCATGATCAACATGGACTGGGTGGGCGTCGGTGAATGCTATAAAAACATTAACTGTAGTACATACCTCAGCACGAGGAGCGTTGGCCTTTGGCTGGTCGTTTGTAAGGTCATCGAATCGCAACACGAGCTTCGTCAGCGCCGAGGCGAGTACCGAACCCGTGAAAAAGTCGCCTCCCAATATGAGGGCTGACATCACATCATTAAAAGTTCCGAACAAAATGAACAGGCACGCTACGCACCACTCAATGGCGGCTTGGACGCAGCCTTGACAGCCTCTAATCTCGTTGAGGTGGCGCTGGTGTACGCCGTCTCCATCGCATATGTCCCGTCAGCAAGTACCTTTGGCCGCCCGCTTCCCTCGACTTTCTTGCCCTCCTTCTTGTCCTCCTCTCCGCCAGCCTCGTCCAGTAACTGCTGCTCGCTCGCAAAGATAGGGATCTCGCCAAGCACTTTGCGGATGTCCTGGAATGTGGCCTGGATGTCTGACAGGCCTTCGACGTACTCGCCCAGGATCCAGAGGACGCCGCGGAAGGCTTTACCGGATTTTACCTCTGTCAGAGTTTAAGTGAGCTTCTCACATTTAGACTGCCGGAGGGGACAACATGTATAAGCATGAGATCCCGCTGGTGATCATGCTGTGTCATATGTTGATGGCGTCACGTGATCATCGGAATAAAATTTTCAAACTTTCTGTTGATTCTTCAGTTAGTACCATGGGGCGCCCGCTCATTCCAGATGGCCGATACGAGCACTACGCATGGCTCCCCTCAGAGGGACACTTTCAGACGCCTAGGCTCTGATCCATGACCGTCGGCCGTTAACTTGCGCTTCTTAGGTCCCTGAGCACCACCAGGCGCCCTGGGAAACCTCAAATTTTGTTTTATTTTGGGTACTGGCTTCACGCGGGGATCAACGAGTGCTCGATGCGTCGGGGTGCTTTATACACATCCCACTGCTAGTAATGCTGATGCTCTTGCTCTCGCCCCAAATGCTGCCGGCCACCTGCTGTTGCAATCACTGTCCGATATCCCCCAACTCATGACCACTTCACCCCACACCTCGCTGGCCAATCCAGCCGTTGCTCGGTAACGTTCGGCACACGCCGGCATCTGATACTTGGGGCGTCCAAGTGTGTAGGCCATGACACATTCGTAAAAGATAATGCTTCAGTCCCTCGAAATAATGTGGGATAAGAAATACGACTAGGTCTGATCTTATTGTCACTCCAAAACTATATTTCCAGTTCTTACTGTTATTCTATGCATCCAGTGTGTTTGGATCAATAGATGATGCCTTAGCTCCGCTATCTTCATCACTGGCTGCCTTTCCCGTTGTAAAATCCGAAGTCCTAAAGGTTTTCGGATCCGTACCTGCTACGGCTTCTAACCATCTCAACGGCAAAACTTCAGCTTTCGCACGTGTCACAGGATCGTTGAAGCAGCCTCCGTGACCTTCCCGGTCGTCAACACCCTCCAACTCCAATGCGCTGCCCTCGATGGCCGTAACATCAACCGCATCTACGTCTAAACCGTCCAGAGCAGACATTGCAAAGCTCTTCCAGAATCCCTCGTCATCGTCTTCTCAGTCGACTTCTGATACATCCTCCCCATCCATCCGGCCCTCTAACTTACCCTCACATCGGACGTTTGCGACTGAAACTTGGCGATCTTGTCAGCGTCCAATAATATCCAGGTATTGAGCCTTCTCCTCCCCCACACAAGTTGCCTGTGCTCACTACGAGCGTGGGTGTCTAGCAACGGATCTCAGCCAATGTACATGCATTCAGCGCATCAGACGTCTGGCATTATACATGGCACCCCTTTTGCCACTTACCCTTATATTCCGCCATCTGATACCCCAGGTGTTGCAGGTGATCGGACCTGAGACAAAGGCGTCTCAGACGCACTCCCGGACGAGGAAATGAGTGAAGTAAAGGGCGTGCTGGGAGCCTGATCTACCCGTGACACACATTCTGCTCACGAGTCGCTCGGAATCACATATCCGCAAAACCTTTGAGAACCAGGAGGTGCGGCCATTGTTGTGCGAAATACCCGTGAAAACTTCTGGGGAGGGCGTTGCTACCATCATCTTGCTCGACGGCGCCGATGTTGACAAAGACATCTATATTTTCTTGCAGCATTCCTTCGCAGAGCTGGCAAGTCGCCATACTGATTTCCCTCAGCCATCGAAGGATGATCTTGCGAAGCTGGCGAGCCGAGCGGGCCGACGTTTCACTGTGGCGACTACAATGATGAACTTCATTATCGACGATAAAGACGATGATCCCCGCGATCGGTTACAGCTGATGCTCAAACTAACGAGCGAGCTGCTACCAGGAGCAGAGGTGTATTAATTATACGATTGTACCCTCTCCACGTGTGCTGACCCCAAGCGGGCTTACATGCACTGGTCCATCGTCGCCGCCCTCGCAGACCCTCTTCCCATCTCTCAAATATCGTCACTTCTTGGCCCTGGTTTGGGCAGGGATGTTCAGACAATTTGATACAGCTACGGTCTGTCATGGATATCCCTACAGACAGCACTCACCCTGTGGATATCTATCACTCATCCGTTCGCGACTACGTTTCCGACCCCTCCAATTGCGGCCTCTCAAGTATGCGATATCACATCACCCCACTCCCTACTCGCACAGTCGTCTCTCCGCTTGATGACGGAGAATACGGAAAGCACGGCTCTCTTGGATGCGTGCTGGGAACCGGAAAGAATATGCAGGGTCTCAGTCATGCCTCGTTCTGCAACAACTGGGTCCGCGGGTTGAGGTCGAGTTTCGCCCTGACAGACCTTACGGATGACTTGAGTTGCGAGGCGAACCGATACCCAAGGTTATTCATGGATCATAAGCTGTGAAGCTGTTCAAAATCTGGCTGATTAACCAAATGTGATGGAAGTACCTCGTCCACGGTCGTACTAAAGGCCTAGACGTCGGACGTAGCTCATAACCTCCTCCTCGAGCTATATTGCTCGGATAAGTCAGAGCACAGTGATCGACATGAGAAGAGACGTCTTGTAGAACCGAAGTTGGAAAGCAGTGGCCTGCCGTCTGGGCTGATGGCGATATTGAACTATGATAAAGTAAGGATCCTAGTTATCGGTGATTGTCGTCATGACTCACCGCTTTGATGTCACCGTGAACAACAGACATGCTGTGCAATAATTTGATGCCCGAGGACGATACCTTTCAACTACGAAATCAGGTCAAAACGCTACTTTCCTCGATAAAAAGTGAGGTACGTACAATATTTCAGTGGTCAACTTCGAGGCGTTGATTGACATAGTCTTTCAAGGTCCCATTGGACTTCCAGGGGCTTACAGTGTAACAGCTATGTTGTCCGGAACGGACATGAGTTCCTGAGGAAGGAAAGACCCACAGATATTCCCTGTGGTCAAAACCTTGACGGTTGGTCCGCGATCGGGAACTGGCATAACTTGCAGTGGGGCTCCACTTCCAGTGTATGGGTTTATCCCATGGGGCACGGCTGCAGCTGGTGATATAACGAATAATGTCATGGCATTGGAACCAATGATGTCGACCGCCAGATTCGCTATCGCTCCTCGAAGCGCTGAAAGTGCGAAAGAGTCCGATTTACCCTTGCGCTCACTACTAGAGCCAAATAGGTTTCCTAGACGCGATATCGGACCTGCTGGTTGAGCCAGCATGTTTTCCATGTGTTCGACGTTCAAGCTTTGGGAGTTCCTATAAAACTTGACGTTATGGGGTAGTTTCCCATAGGTCTCTAGGAGGGGATTTTCTCCATGTTGCCATTCGTATGGGAAGGACCGTTGGTGCCTAAATGGTACATCACTCAAATAAGGCTCAGGCATAGAAATAGGGCGATCAGCCGGCTGGTAGAAGTCGGTGATTCTTGGGCGAGATAACGAGTTAGCTGCACGCTGTGCGTCAGTTATGACGGGGGGAGAAACAACCGGATCTCCTCGTCGACTGGTCATATCAGGGATGACAGGGCCTGGAGTTGCCCGGCGATTGTCTACGTGTGGCTCGGGCGCGCGCGCAGTGGGTTGTGATTGAGACACGTAATGCGTGTCATTTATGATAGGAGGAGGAAAAGCTGTGTCTCGTTTGGGGTGTACGTTAGTCATAACAGGGGGTGGAGGAACAACGGGATCTTGTCGACCAGTTACAACAGGCATCGCGGGGTCTTGATTGTTCGGAGGTATAGATGGCTCTGGCATGTGTACTTGTGGCACTGCAGATGGAACAACTGGTGCAGGTGGCTGATGAGCTGCGTTTTGACAAGCAGCGACCAGAACATATGGTTGCGGCATAACCAGAGGCTGCTGCACAGGAACCACGGCCACTAGGCCCACTAATTTGTGGATACGCAGATTGTACCTGTGGGTCTTTTCATCTGCCACTGTCAGGAAACGGCTACTCTCCAGAGACTGTCATGCACAATGCTGGAACCCGTAGGCTGTAGTGGGAAATCCATTGGGATCTGAGCTCCAGCTTGTATGCATTCCGTTTGAGCTAACGGTTGGAACTGGAAAAGGATAGGGTCTATATGTTTTGAGGGTCCAGCACCCATATTGGTGGCGATGTCGCTAATATGTGATTGTGTGTGAACGAGTTCGAAGGAATACCCGAAGTAAACTAGGACGACGAATACAATTTCAAAGCGGTTCATAGTCGCGTCTGGATCTCAAATTGCGTGTCATGGTCATCCAGCACAGCTATTGACTATGCTACACTCCAAGCCAAGGATTAAGATTGCAGTAATGTCCGGCAGTGAACATCCTTAATTCAGTATATCCACGGTAAACTATTGAAGATGAAGACAAACTTCGATCCCCTTTGAGTCCATCATGTCCCATTTGTCTGGCTTTGTCCAGTAACGTCCAGCGTACCGCTTCTTGCTGATGAGAAGATACGGGTAATAAACTTGTCTTGAATTCGAGCTTGATATGTCTGACAAATTTCGCCATCACAAAATCCGCCGCCTCCACTCCTGTAGAATAGTTAAATTGCATGCAAGTTAGGTTGCTGTTTGGTACGAACCGAGAGTCATGACTTTTTCCTGCTCCAAATGAGCTGGTTCGATAGCTGCATAATGTCCTTGTTCATGCGATATTGGTATGTGAGATCAATCACTGTGTATGGGTGCGCTGCAGATAGGTGATGGAAGAGAGACGTTTCCAGGCCACCCTTCAATGCAGCAGGATTGCAAACCTGGAAACACAGGGGAGACCATGATGTGCGACACAAGAAACTTACTAGTAGGGGAAGCTGGAAATGATCTCCAACCAAGACAGCTCGCTGAATGAATACTGCAAAGATATATAGATGTCATTGTCGACATCAACACAGTCTAGCGAGATGATGGTAGCAACACCCACCCCAGAAGTTTTCACCGGTATCTCGCACGCCAGCGGGCGCACCTCTTCGTTCTGAAAGGCTTTACAGATATGCGATTCTGAGCGACTCGTGAGCAGAATGTGGATCACGGGAACATCAGGCTCACGAAGAACCCGTGCAAAGGAAAGGATGAGTTCGGTGAGCTCGGATTCAGACGTGCATTCATCAAGCGCATCGACAATAAATGACAAAGGCGGACATCTGCGCATGTCTGGGGCAGGATTGATGCGGATCGCTCCGTTCACATCCTGCCGGATGCTTGGAAAATTGGTGGCAAGATGGTAAACAAGCGTCGCAAAGAAATATCCAGCTGTGCAGCGTTTGGTGTGCTTGCGCGAGAAAAAGAATGTTCCCCCGCTAGCCGCTTTTCGACGTTCGTCTCTTCAGCCACTTTTAGACCTGTAAACGCAAAGGCAGACTTTCCGACACCAGCCGTGCCATCATGATGCAGCCAAATGAATTGATTCTTCTTTGGGTCGTCCAGTAAGTCGTGTATATAATTAAGGAGATCAACCCAGGTCCCATCCAAACATTTCGGGTGGGGCTGACGTTCACGGGAGTTACCTTGATAGCAACCTGGGCCAGCCTCGCCCAAGTTCCTTCAAGAACTGTCAAAGAGGTTAGAGAGCATGCGAAAGATAAGAGATGGAAGTACCGACATTGATCATCACTCATCGACGAAAGTTGTGATATGCGGCGAGATGCAATGAACCAACTGAGTCTGAAAGTACTAGCTGGGTTCGAGGGCGAGTTTAGAAATAATGTGGGCTGTAGTTATCTGGAGGGACGACATACGAAGATTTCAATTTAAAATTGTCAGCTGTGACAAGACTTGCACCGCGGAACGATCAAGCTGTCGATTGATAGAAAGCCCAAGCCAGGCCGGAACATCACTACGGCGGCCGGGGCGAAGACCATTTTTCTGTGGACTGTATTAGCGACATGAGGCTACTGGACAGCACTCGAGGCGAGATGATGAATACTAGGAGGATATAGCATGGATGAGTATTCCATACATATATGCGCATGCGTTTGGTCAAAAATGTTGCCACTCCATAAAATGAATGAGGCGTTGACAAACATGGCGTGCATTTCCTTGGAACGAAGTTATTATGATCACTCACATCCTGCACATCAGCCAAAAAGAAGAATGAAGCCTCGGTGGCCTTTTTCTCGGTCTTCTTCTCTTGTGCGCCACCTCAGCTACTTACGTTTGGCAGGCGACTTGCGGACCTTGATTGACCGCGATGAGAACTGCGAGCACACGTCTGCGCCTTCGTCGTCTTCCTCATCAGAAGTGGGAACCAAGGGTGTGGGCGCGATGTGCAGTTTCTTCGTGCATCCACGTGAAGGAGACATAGTAGTCCCACAGGGATGATTAACAAGCCGAATATCAGAGTGGGCATTGTAATGCGCACCTCTGGCTTACGCTTTCCACCATTCCGATTATGCCTGATGGGCCTAGTTTGTATTTGTCATAATTGATTTCTGGTCTTCGGCTCCATAAGCAAATTCACCTAGTAGCTGCCTGACTGCCCTGCCAGCCTATCAGTAATTTCACCGATTACCTGTGGTAGCAGTGGGTGCGAGATCTTTTTTTCAGTCATCTAATGGTAGACTTACATTTTGTAGATTATGTTGGACCCTGAAAATACCTTCCTGTTACAGTCTTTAAAGCGACGGAGGGAGTCTCTTCTAAATGACAAACCTGAAACTGCAGATGCTAAGCGTTTCAAATATCTTTCTAATGGTACAGAGTTCCTGCCCATTCAGAACATTTCTTCATTTACCAGAAATAACTACCCCTCACCAGCGTCCAACCCAAGCTCAGCGTCCAGTTTGGATCTGTCTGGTCTTCTAGACATGAATGTGGATGTGGAGAGACCGCGTTCTCCAAAGGATGGTTTGGCAGGAGATGATGAAGAACCCGAATCCACGGTGCTTTTCTCTGGTTCAGATTCTACAGAGTACAGAGCGGAGCGTGGCATTCTAGATGATGACTCCAACTCACTGTTCTCGCAGTCCGATTCTGAAAGCAACAACGACTGTACCAAGTCACTGTTCTCTCAGTCTGATTCTGAAAGCAACAACGACCATACCAAGTCACTGTTCTCTCAGTCTGATTCTGAAAGCAACAACGACCATACCAAGTCACTGTTCTCTCAGTCTGATTCTGAAAGCAACCGCAGCCATGATGGCCATACCAAGTCACTGTTCTCTCAGTCTGATTCCGAATGCAATCAAATCACAAATTCCGACAGCAATCATTCAAACGCGCTATCTTTGCAGTGGGATTCTGGGCGAGGTCATAGAGGTGACAAATCGCTATTGGCTCAGTTTGATGACGAGGATGATATGGTATGTGACCGTCCACACCAAAGACATAACTTACTTTTTTCTCAGCCCATAACGGAGTTGGGAAAAGGTGCCAATATAGAGCATAGCGAGGAAGAGGTCGTAGATGGTGGTGCTGAAGGCAGAGCAGAAAATGAGGAAGTTGACTTCACAGCGGAAGCTGGCGATGAAGCTGATGATGAAGCTGAGAATGACGAAGCTGATGATGAAGAGGCCGGAGAAAAAGAGGCCGGAGAAAAAGAGGATCATATGCGAGAGCGTAGCTTTTCTGGTACTGGACCTATTAACAGGAAGTCTGCGCATAGGTTTGTTGTTGTTGCTAAGGTATGCGGCGCGTCCAATGGTGAAGATTGTGACTTACCATTTTCTTAGTCTGACGATGAATGGGAGGAAAGCAAAGAATCAGAAGGCCAATGCGGCAGTGATGGTGAAGAATCTGACGATGCAGTGGAATCAGCTAGTAGAAAGCCTGGTAGTCCCTGCCGTCACAATGCTATTGCTAAAGACAGAATACTGGCAGCCAAGACAGGCTACACACCTAGCACATCCTCGACATTCAAGAACACCACTACTACGTTCCAAGGATTTTCATGCACTCATGATTCTCATATCGACTCAGCCCAGGGATCATTTCCTTGGACCAAAATCAGCTCATGCTCCATCCTAGCTGGCTTTCATATCCAGTATACTCTCTTTGGTTTCGTCTGTTCAGAGCACAGTACCATTATCCATCCACGTCACATAATCCGACATCTGAAAGGCAAGCACAAACGCTCTGGAAAGCAGTTTAGATTGGCGGAAGTGGCCGTACTGCACGATCATGTGTTCAAGACTCATGGCATCTCCAATGAGACGATCGAGTTTCCCCTTCCCACCACCCCCTTACAAGATGATATACCTGGGCTTAGCCCCCATCTTGCACTTGCCTGTCCTGTTCAAGGCTGCGGTGCTTTCCTAAAGTTGAGTGACCCCAGGGAACATAATCTGTCTGCGAGACGTTTTGAAAGGAATGTTTGGGAGCATGTTGAAAAACATCATGACAAAACGCTTATCCCTGATCTCAAGAACAACATTCTCAAACGTCGCTATGTTATCCAACCCTTTAAGCACTCTCTAGCTGGCATTGATAAGGACTGGAATCTAACTCTTCCATATGAAGAAGACTATCATCCTGGAGCGACCTCACAACAACCCTGTATTGAGGCGAACGTCAACACCTCACAGCCACCAGCCCCAATCTCAGCTGACTGGCTGGATGAACTGGGCTGGCATACTTGGATTGAGAAAACTGGGGCCGACGCAGAAGCATTACGAACTTTAGTCAGTATGCCGCGAGAATCATATCTCAAATCATATCTGCCTCGGGAAAGTCCTCGCCATACCCTGGAGGTTGGCATTCTAGCCATATACCGACTTCTAGAAGGTTATCTTAAAGATGCAAATGAATTCGTTGATGAAAAGCACGGAGATTTAAGGGCTGAAGTGACAGCTGGGTAAGTCCTATACTGCAGTCGCTGGTACTTATTGTATTCACTCTTGAACAGATCACACGCTCACTATCGTCCTCTACAAAGGCAGTCGTACCTAGCTTACAGGCGACCCACAATGGCGATGATCCTACTTCTTCTGCGGGTGATTCATCTTCAAACTTCACATGACCACGTCCTGCTCCTGCAGCTGGGAAAATTTCCTGAGATGCTCTGGAAGAATCTTGATGCCAATCAGATCAAATCGGCTTTTGATCTATTTGATTATATTACAACTGGCAGTCAACGGTCTTTCGATCCTGAGATTGTCCTTCGCCATACTCATGATCTCCTCTCTCTCCTTGTACGACACAGCATCAAGTCCTTGGAAAAGATTGGCTGCGCAAGTGACATAACCCTCCTGCTAGGCTCTCTACTTCCTGATGGCCGCTACCAAAGTGCCAACTGCCTCACAAAGGACTGCGCTATGTTCTGTCATGGAATGGTAGCTACCATAATTCATTTCGTTCGGTTGCAAGAGTTGGATGCCCCCCATTTTTCACCTCACAACGCAGCTCTTTTCCAGGCACAATTTGAGGGCATCCGTTCCCTTCAAGTTCCTGTTCCTAATGTAATCAATCAGGACGCTATGGTCAGTGGGGAAGATATGGCCGATGGAGATGATGCAGCCGATGGAGATGACGCAGTCAATGATGTCGAAGAAGAAGTAGAGGAGGATCTTGGAAAAGACTTGGAGATCGAGAGCTCGCAAGACCTTTCTGATAAAAATGGTGATGTTGAGACTGACCAGTTGACAAGATGTAGGTGTTGCTTTTGATATTTCACAATAGTGCCAACTTATTCTACATTAGCTAAACAGTATCGTGATTTACTTATTGCTGATAAAGACGGGGAGTCCTTGGAGACTACTTCGCAGTTGAGAATCTTCAGGTGAGTCTTGTATCCTTAAAATGTCAGTAGAAATTGGACTCAAGAATATCCAGTCTCCTGGCGGACGAAAGAAATTCTTTCTTGAGTCCTCTGAAGCCAACACCTTACGGCCACTGCAAATTTGTGTGGTTCAAGGTAGCCAAAGCAGCACGTCTTGAATCTCGTGCATCTGGCTTTACTTTCATGGAGGACGGTCAGGGCATCATTATAAATGATGCTTCAAAACGCCCCCACCCGATTGCCTTTTCACTCCTGGGTTCTTCGGCAAGAGATGCCATTTTTGGAACAGAAGAAAATATCATCAAATGTCTTCCGGACAGCTGCGTTCAAGACTTTCTCAATTTTGGATGGGAATCAATCACAGATGACGTCATGTCATATCAGTCCATTTTTTTCCAGCCTCAGAACCAAGATTTTCTTCAGCCAATTCGCAACAAGCTTCTTAATTTGCTGCTAGCCAAACAGAGTCGGAATCAGAGGCATGAACCTCTGCCTCTCACATCTTCTACTGGTCAGCTGGATATTCCGAAGGCACGAACGTGGTTACAAAGTCATGACTCTATTCTATCTTCCATAACAGCCGCTTTCATCCTTACCTGCGGTGTTCCTCCTCGCGACTTCCAGTTCAAATCTTTTCAGGTGGACCATGATGAGGACAAAGGATACAAGCGTAGCTTTTTCATTATTGACAAACTTCCAGCATTTGCCAATCCAAAAGCGAAGCAAGTAGGCCAGCATTTTAAGCAGTGCTTATGGGGAGCAACATCAGCACAGGCGCGCTCTCTGCTATTTTTCCTAGGGATTCTCAAGCCAATATACGCAGAAATCATGCGTCTGATGAAGGTCCATGACCGGATCTTCGATATATACATTTTTGTTCGCACCGCACCCCTAGCTCAAAGTCAGTTGACGTCACACCCTCTTCTCCTGAGCGGCACTACCATCAACTACTATCTCTACAAGCACACGCGCTCAATAGGGATAAGGCTTACCTGTGGAATTATGCGAAACAAAATCACTGCTGTTTATCATCAGTTCTTTCCATGGCTATCAACTTCGGCAGATAGCAATCCAGGAGAACGTTCTGCAGTGGACTGGCAGGGACAGCATGAATCTTTAACTGGAAATGTTCACTATGGTCGAATTCTTGATATTCCTCTTGCGCTCAATATGTCTAGGAACAAGGCTATCATGTTTATCGAAGTCAGCCGAGCTCTACAGTCCATCTATGGTCTGGCACCTTCCGATGAGGACTGGAGCCACCATCATGAAATCCAACAATCACCTTATGTCCTTGCAAAGGTCCGGGAAGCTGCCGCATTTGCTAAGGCTCAATACCTTATCTGCGTTCACTATGGTTTAGGCGGGGATTGTAATAGTGCTGAAGTCCGTAGCAGGAATCTTAAAGTGGTGAACTGTGTATTGAACACAGCCCCTTATCTGCAACGCCCTTCATCAGAGGTTTGTAGTTCATATTGATTTTCATCATCTTGTAATCTGATTTCTATATTTTCAACAGACTTCAGCCTTCATTGGTGATGATGTGCTAATTCAAGTTGTGCGCATTCTAGCCTACGGCATCCATGGACCTCGCCCATTCACCTATCCTCCTGCTGGTGGTCACTCCGTCATACTCCCTAGCATCGCAGTTAAGCTGGTGAGTCCTGTTGTGAACTTCAAAATGACTGCTAAACGTCCTTGTCAGATTGTTAAAGCTCTGGAAGAGTGGAGAGATGGACGCTATAAATCATTAGACCTCCCAAATGATCTCAAACTTGCTGGATATTTTGATAGTATCCAAGCTAAGGCGCATAAGTGGTTTAGTTCTATTAAATCTGCTGATATCGACTTATGGCTGGCTACCAGCCATGCTATTCACTCTAATCCTTGTCTTCAAGACTGCAGTATTATAGATAGTTGGGTTCCAAGAGGGGTACCCTGTGTACCGTCTGCTTAGCCATCGCCCAGTAGTGCTAACATTAGTAGTGACAGAGTATTATCTACAATACATATTATTTCTCCTGTGCTTGGGATAAGGGAGCCATAACGGTGTACATGATCGCCACCCTGACAGCGGTCACATCTGAAGCAATCCAGAGAGATAAGCCATTTTTGTTGTAAGGATCGGTTCTCAAGTCACAAGCATCATGGAGACCGTCATGTCGACGGCAACACTAACAGACAGAACGATAACGTGGAAGAGCGTATGATTGACAAAGCGGTAAGGAGATGATCTCCAAGTACAGGTAAGTCGAGCTATAAGTATGGATCTGTATCGTGCGCGGTGTCCAATCAGCGATGTAGGTAAGATGCGTCATTGAAAGGTGCTGCGTCATAGGCTGCGTCAGCGATGTGGTAAGTATCAGGCTTACACATCGAAATTTAAGGGTGCATGCAAACCTGGCACCTGTATGTACTATATGGTACCTATTTTATCGATTCTACGTCGTGGTATGCTATTATATAGTAGAATCCGAGATTTGTTTGTAAAACTCCTCTGGGCCAGATCATCGATGATGCAGCTTCATGCCGTGGGAATATGAACTTGTAGGACACATTGTCAGTCGAAGGGCTTCAAAGTCAAGGAAGCTCCCTAACAAGTTGTACTGGCAGTCATAGCAGAATAAATCATTCCGATACTAAATCTCAGCCTCCCGCAGCACCTGTTTACTCTTATCTCCCAGTGAATGGTATCGACTTGATCTGTGGTTTATGCAGAAATGTCGCTACATTATAAGTTAGTAACCTCTGCAGGCGCTCTAACATATGGTTCCGCGTTGCTTGAATTAATGGAGAAAGATGATGAAGAAGCTAGACCTAAACAAGAGGCTAGCAGAGGCGGAGACGCAAGAAGGAGAATCTGAGATATCAGACGCTTTGAGAGCCAGAGCCAATCACATCTAACTCGCTTTGGTGACAAGGTGCGCCTTCCCTATACTAAGACATACAGACACTGAATATTATGGGATGCACAGTCACAGTGCAAAAACTTGCGCTTAAGAAAACACCTGGCCTTTGCCTGAGGATAAATATTGCACTCACTCTCATCCGACTGGGATTTTTCTTCAGTGACACTGGCCTCATCGCTGAGGGGCAGAAAGGTATGCTATTGCCAAGCACAAAGCTTTCCCGCAACCTTGGATTAACATATCATCCAGATTTATCGAGGAGGGTGATGACTGGGATAGGTGGAATCGTCTCAAGGTCTGCCGTGGGTTCCGCATGATATTCATCCACCAGCTTAAGGCTGGCGGTGCACTTCTCCTCGATGCACGATGGACATTCACTACCGCTGAACTCACAACATACAACAACTTCGTCACTCTCACCATCACTATAAATGCTCTTACCCTCGAACAAGCAGATCTCAAGGAATAGGTACGTCCGTTATCCTAGGATTTCCCACTGCTGATCATATTTCCTGTAGCTCAAGGCCGCACCAGAGGTCATCTCCATTAGCCCGAATTCCCGATCCTCCGAGACCTCTTAAAGACTACCACTACACAAAATTCTTCATTGCATTCAGTGCGTTTCCTCACACCTACATAGTACTTCCGAGGCCCCTGTGTAGCCTTATTATATTTGGCTGATGTGATTGATAATGGCTGACCAGCCGTGTCCATGCCCACAGCGACCCTTGAGCAGATGTATCTCCTGCCCTCAAGACTCCTCTTACCTCACTCGCTACTATGACCGAGAGATGAGCAATTTGGCATACATCCAACTTCTGGAGTCCTACCGCAGTCTCACTCTTGAAAATCTTAGCGATGTATTCGACGTCAGTGTCGAGTTTGTTGACAGGCATATATTACCTGCGCTTGTATTTTGCCGGTCTCTGAGCATCTCTTCTAATGAGCTCTCACGATTTATTTCTAACTGGTGTTTGCTTCTAGTGATCCTGCACTAATATCTCTTTCATTATACCTTTCGGTACATCATCAATCTTGTTTCTTCGGGGTGAGACTCGCAAGAGTGATCGACCTCGAGAATCCTAATTGTAGCGAGCAAAGGACGGTGCATTTCTGGGTAACAGTTTTATACAAGAATCCATCAACATTCCCCCTGCGCTCACTGACAGTAGCACCAGTGACTCTAGTACTATTGAACCTAATCATCCTTTAGAATTGATGTGCGAAGGCAATGAGTGAAAGATGAGTATGCTACATCATGATTTACAACTACCAGGCCGAAGATAGTACCCTTATTAATCAGCTGTGCAATCAGGGACCAGCGGTGCAGCCGAGCAATGTTACGCGAATTGTATGATATAGCCAACTAGGTTTTCAATGAGCAACCGTACACGACTTACCCCCAGCGTCCAGTGTTCACTCACCAGCTCATCATGAAGACCTACCACTGCTCAAACTGTAACTTGGCAACGTTTGAAAGCAAAAACAAGCTTACGAACCACAGGAAGGGCTGCACAAAAGACATTGTGACTACCAAATTTGGTGACAAGCTGATTACCCTCACAAAAAATGCTAGCGGTCGTTTTATATGCTACTGTTCTCATGCACACTGTCTAGGTGCTGATAAAACCTACAAAACTGCTGAGAACCTGAAGAAACATATGAAAGACATTGGTTCTGAATGGGTTGGTCCTCCAAATCCACCGCAGTCCGTTGATTTTCATCAGGTATGAAGCTCCCGTAGCATAAATATGCACACCATATAAATACACTAATAATTCAGACCTTCACTCCAGTTACTCCAAGTAATCCTCCATCGTCGTGGTCTCCAAGTGTATCCCTCACCGGTAGCACTCGAGCACGGCTACATGAATTTGATATCGAAGTGGGAATCAATTCTCCGGATATAGACGACAATTCTGCAAATGTAGATGAGAACAGGGACTGTAGCCCAGGGGGGGCATTCATACCTTTGTCGCCATTTTCTTGCCACATGTCGATTGCACAGTATGGGCTACAAGACGCAGCAGCTGATGTGAACAGCAATCCATTGCAAGGAGGGCATGGTAGCATCAATGACTCAGAAGCGGTAGGTATTATTTTAGGCCGACTTCAAGCTGATGATCATTATCCTCTTTATGTCTAGGCTGGCGCCTTTGAGGCAGAGCCAACTCGGTGGCAGCAGCGCTTTGAAGCCGAGCAAGCTCAGTGGCGGCAGCATGTGGAAGCAAGTATGGCAGCAGAGCGTGCTTCATGGGCAACTAAGCAAGATGCACTCACATTGATGGCATCTAAGCTGACAGACCTAGAGGTCAGATGGGATCAAGAGCGCAAGGCTTGGGAGACGGCGCTCCATAGGTGTGAAGAGAAGCTTGCCAGGCGAACTATGGAGCGGGAGGATGTCTGTCTCAAAGTTACAGAAATCCCTGATGGAGATGTTATCGAACCTGGCGAAGTTTTGAATGCAAACAGCCTGTTCCATGCTTCAGAAGCTGACATTGGCTTGGAGGAGGGAGAGTTGGACGAGTACTAACTAGTACTATGCCTGGCGACCTAGATAGGTTTGGTTACACCGCAATATAAGTTAGTATAGTAAGCAGTCGCCAGTGGCATTTATGGCGGTCCTAGTTCTATTCATGAATTTTGCATATAACGTGTCCCTCCTTTTTGGACGGCCTATGATCTGAAACAATGTCACTAGGACTACAAATCAACTTTGGAATGACTTCAACTCGGTACCCAAAAATAACAATATTCGGAGAATTGTGAACATACGCATGTAACCTTTGGCATTGGCGGTAGTGCGACTTCCTGGATTCTTCTTAGCCTGCAGCTTAACGTCCTCTTCTTCTTCCTTGCCGAGGCTGGATAGCGCGCCATTGCATGCCCAGTCTACCAGAACCATCTTCGAGTGCATCCCGGATTATTATGCGTTGTCATCATCTTGAGTGATGTCTACTGCATCAGCCAGGTTTCCATTGCTGGAGCGATCTGACCAGCCTAGACTGTTGGTGTTTGCATCACTGAAAACCAACGTTCTCTATCAACCTTTATATACACATTATCATGTAGATAATATCCATATTTGGTTAAAATGTGGTATCGCGAGATATATAGGCAGATATACGTATTGAACGCTATCCCCTATGACCAACAATTATCATGAATCATGTTGTGACGATACTAAAACAGTTCTGAAGCGATGAAACATGTTCAACGAAGTGTCTCTCATTTAGTATTTCTAACACAGAGGCTCCCCCGTCCAATAAGTGACAGAAATACAAATTCTTGCCATCTGTACTATCATACAGATCATTGCTTCATTGGTATCGTGATCTTACGGGTTTTATACTTGATTGGCCAGGAAATTACATTGGATAGTATGCGAGTTATACAAAGATGCTCGGTACAATACACATGAATTATGGAGTTCATCAATGCCCCACCCATTCTCTACCTCAATCTCATTGTCAACACCGTCTGCAAGAACAATAACAGACGACGATCGATCGTCTTGAAGTCCAACGAAGGCAAGACGTAGTGGTAACTTGACACTACTATTTCTGTATGCGGGGATTTGCACTGTGTATCGTGGTCTCGGATAGAGTATAGCGGTAAAGGATCGAGTTTGGCGGTATATAATCGAGCTTGGTCAATCGAGTTCGGCAGTATAGGATCGAGTTCGGCAGTATATAATCGAGCTCGGTGGTATAGGATTGAATTTGGCGGTACTATAGGATACGACGAGATCGAGTTCGGCCATAGAATCGAGTTTTTGGCCATGGGATCGAATTCGGCCATATTGCAAAAGACCAGTCTTCCATAGACAGAAACATAGACCACGACAGGATATATCTTGTCGCGGAACCATACGATACAGCGCAACTTTCTACACGGGGACTCGTCAAGAAACTTGAAAGAAATAGCGTTAACGAGTGATTGGAGACAGAGTAGGAGATAGTGGGAGTTATAAAAAAAAGTCAGAGTCGGATCCTTACTTATCAATGAACAGAAGATACACTTGATGAGCGGTGACTGAGGTCTTGAC